TGCACAGGGAAAAGAAGCGAAAGAAAAAGAGAGAAGAGGGAAAAAGACGCCGTACCAGCGGCGGCAGCCCCAACGATATCTCCCTCAGAGTCCTTTACATTTAAAACTAGCCTGGTTCTGTAGTTACCATGGTTGGAATAAAAGTCAGAGATGGCCATGTTGATGCAACTCAAGCCTAACTTCCCAACCCACGTATCCAGATCAAGAACCACTCCCACATTCACCGGAATCGTGGCGGAGGCCATAGTATTTTCAGCCACCGCAGCCTCCACCAAGAACAAGCTGCAAAAAAGAACAAAGAAAAGCCAGGAAATACAGAACAAGAGTTTGGTAGGAATCAGCTCCATTTTTTTTCCTTCCGAATGCATGGTACTCAGGCAGCTGGAAGTGGTATTTTTTATGGTTGGTGATGGTTGGGTTGTACTCTGACAGTCTGACTTATAAAGGTTGGAGACTCCTTCTTGGAAAAAATATAATAAATAATCACTACTGTGGAGACCAATGGCCCTTATTTTTGTAATTATATAATCATTATGTATGGACGAATCGCGTTGGATATGATGCACAACACTGTGGGAAGAATTTCTCAGTAGGTTCGCTTAAAATTTGGGTTAAAGCCAACTATAGTCTCTCTACTTTCAATTTTGGTTCATTCTCCTCCCTATACTTAGAAATTATTCAAAGGCCACCTCTACTCTCCCAAACCATACTACCATTCTCCTCCTACTTTTTTTTTTCATTACATTCACCTCCCTCACCTAATGTTGTTTATAATACTGTTTATAACCGAGTAATTATCTATCGTTAAGTGCAATAATTTATTTTTTCTTTTGTTGAATTCTTGTCATGAGCCCTATAAAATGCCATGTCAGCAACACAGATCGTTAATAACAATAACTAGATCAACAAGATGTGGGTGCCAAATCATGGATTCTTTCTATTTAATGCTACACTCATCGCCATCTTTACTTACAGTGACTGAAACGCTATTAAAAACAAGATCAACTCTACTTCAGTGTCTTGATTAACCATTTATCTCCTCATTTCAATTTTTTGTTTTTTGAACATATCTTCTTATTTCATTTGAGTTTTTCTCACCGAAGATAGATACATCAACAAATCTATACTTCCAGTAAAACTTAAAATTTGTTAGCCACCTCATAACACGATCTTAATGACTCCTTCCTTTCCATTTCTTATAACCAACTAAACTAGCTTAACTATCACCTAAAAACTCACCTAGTAGCAAGATGAAACGAAGGTAGAACTGAGTCTATGTCAGAGGGAAATCAAACCTTAACAAGCTGTCAAGACCAGCACAAAAGCAACGAGGTATTCAAGTTGAAATAGAGCAAAATGGAGTCAAAAACAAAGTAGGAACAGTCAGCTTTTAGGCCAGAAAAAAAAAAAAGAAAAAAAAAGGAAGAGAGAGAGAGAAAGAGGCAGCTGTACAGGTGAGATTTTTGGCTTCAAAACAGTGAATAACATGCCTAAACAGACCAGATTTTCTGAGCAAAAACAACAGCCAGATCATGGTCCAAAATATGCTAAAATTGCTGTTAAAACCATCCTAAATAAGTGGAAATAGAGTAGAAAACAAAACAGATTTTTTGGGCACGTTTAAGGACATACATAAACCTGAACAAAATAGTGCATAAATTTAACAGTAAAAACATATAATTTCAGAGGCTAAACAATGGCAGAATTTAGTGCAGAATCGAGCAGATGTCAAGACAAATGGTCATGGGTAAAATAAGCTGAAGCTGAGCAAACTTGGAGGCCAAAAAACAGCATACAATGCACAGAACAACAACAGCAAAATAATACAGAAAACAAGACAGAGAGAAATGAAACAACAGCAAAATCACAAACCATAACAAGGAAAAACCGAGGCTTAACTAGGTGTATACAGAGCAGAATTTCAGACCATATAAAACCAGACTTTTAGTAGCTAAATCACGCAAAAACAACAGAGTTTTCAAGGGGTTCAGATCTGTGGCCCTTACCAGAATATCTCTAGTCCAAAAACACCAATACAAGGGAAAGATTAGGGGTAGAATTCAAGTAGAAGAAACCATAATTTTTCTGCATAAAACTGGGTTGATGCAGAGGAAGCGCATGATTAAAAATGGCTGCCCATGGCATGAATTCATTGGAAGAAGAAAACTTTGAGAAGCTTGAGAATCTTACCATTTGGCAGAGGAATTGAAGAAGAGGAAGGGCAGATCATGACTTTCAGAGAGAATGGAAATGGTGATCTCTAGAGGCATTCACATTGGTTCCCATGTGGATAAAGATGACGGGAGGTGTAGGATTAGGCGGGCAGAATCCATGATTTGGCGCCAACATCTTGCTGATCTGGTCAATGTTGCTGACATGAAGATACATGGATAACTTTTTTATCTTATGTTTTAATATAATTTTTATATATCATTTAATATCATGAATTTTATATGAATTGAAAAAATTAATTATTTAAATAACTTATCAAATTGTACCAAAAAAATGATAAAAAAAATTATTCCAAAATCATTTCTTATATTATTGAGAATCTAGGCTGATGACATGGCATTTTAGGAGCCAAGATAGGAGTTCAAGAAAAGAAAAAAGGCAGTGTATATGGAGAAATTTTTTACATAATGTTTAGGTATTATTAAATAAATAAATATGTTTAATATTATAAATTTTAAATAAAAATTTAATTATTTAAATAACACATAATATTATATAAAAAATCATATAAAAATTGTTCTTATATTTTTTTTTAAAAAATAAAGTATTGCACTTAGCGGGGATAATCACTCCATTCTATAGGAGTTATAAACGGTGTTAGGTGAGGGACGTAAATGTAATAGAAAATTAAAGAAGAGGGAGTACAACAATATGGTTTGGAGGAGTAGAGGGAAGTCTTTGAATGATTTTTAAGTATGGGGAGGACAATGAATCAAAATTAAAAGTAGAAGGACTCTAATTGGTTTTTTACCTTAAAAATTTTCACGGTCTGTTTTTTTTATATCACTCGCTATCCAAAACCGATTGAATCACCGATTAATCCGGATTTGAGCCAAATAGAACCCAACGGATAATAAAATTCTTTTTCACAAATTTTAATAGAATTATATTTTCAAAACTTAAAATCAAAATTTTTAATTAAACTGAAAGAATCCTTACCAATTCATTCATTTTTATTCTCTTTATACGCACAATTTTCACTGTCCGTGTCAAAAATCAAGATTTTCGACATCGTAATTAAATTAGTCTTCCAAACCTGCGCATCTTAGAGTATGTATAATGGAAATTTTTTTATTATTTTTTTAAAAAATAAAACAAAGACAAAACTATAATTTATTAGAGACCCATTAAAATTTTGTTTCAAATGAGAGGTTTTTACGGCACTTACGACCTTATCTGTGACGAAAGTGCATCCTTTTTTTTAATTTTTTTATTAAAGGTTTAAGTTGTTAATGCAGCAATATTATAATTATTTTTTTATTTTTAAATTTTTTACTGGTCAAAAAGAAAAAAAAATGAGAGGTCTTTGTCTCCTGCCTTGGTGTTTTCGTGGTCACCTTCTTGAATGGTAGGTACCGACATAAAGTCTTGAATACTTCCCCTCTCCAAACCAATTCCCTTATGTTTAAATAAAAAAAATGCAATGATCAGATAGTCCAACGGTGGGTTGGGTCAAGGTGCAGTCATTTTCTCCAATCTTTCTCTATCTCCTTTTTCTTTTTTTCTTTTTTTTTGGACTTCTTAAAGTTGACTTCTTCTTCTTCCTCAGTTTTTTTCTTTCTTTAATGTCATTAAATATCATTGTATTCTGCCAAAAGGGGGTTATTGTCATCCCTCTACTAAAAAAAATTCATAATAATTCTCCGACTTTAATGAAGAGGCCAACTGTTGTCCTATATTAGCATCTGTTAATGCTGACACAGCAGTAAAGGTGTCAGCAAAATGTTTACAGGACACTAACGATGTTAATAAAATGTTAACAAGGCATTGACTACACATCTTATGTGGTATTTGAAATATATTTCTGTGGTATTTGAAATATATTTCTGACCTTCTTATGCAATAAGGATTAAGGGGTAAAATTGTAAATGAATTTTTAAGAATTTCTTAAATTTATTTAATCTTAAATTATAATTCATTAAGTTAATACCTTTGATCTATTTTTACTTGCCGCACTTTTACTTAACACAATTATAGAAAAAATGATAAATATAAATAAAAATACACTTGTAATTAATTAAAATTTCATATGTACCTTTATTAGTGAGGCTAGTTTGGGATGTTGGAATGTGTTCCTTTTAAGAATGAGGTGATTATATATGAATTTATCTAAATTATATTTTAAGAGCATATATTAAAAGTGTAATATATGTATATTTTATAATTAATTTATATAAAAATATATATAAATTAATATATATTTTAATATTATGGATACATAGATAATTTTAATTGGTTAATTAATTAAATTGAAGTCAACATTTACACTTCAATAAAAATTAATTATAAAAATATATATTTATTACACATTTGATATGTGCTCTTAAATACTCATTATATAGTACTTTAAATACTCGTTACATATTAACAAGGGCAAAATTGAAAATGAAGACTTTAATATGTTGTTGAAAATTGAAATTGATAAGTACTAATTAACAAAGGTTATAGCAGTAATTTACTCCTAATAAATTACTCTCTTTGTTCAACTTTAGTTATCTTACATTCCACAATTTAAGAATTTAAATTTAATTGTTCACTTTTTCATTTGAATATGTCATTTAATGAGTTTATTTATATTTTATTTTTATTTTAAGAGATAATTAAAACACATATTCTAATAAACATGTTTATTTAGATAAAGAATTTTTTAATATGTACCTTCAAGTTAAGT